TTTTTTTTTTTTTTTTTTTTAAGTAGAGACGGGGTCTCTGTCCCTGTGTTGCCCAGGGTGGTCTTGAACTCCTGGGCTCAAGCGATCCTCCCACCTTGGCCTCCCAAAATGCTGGAATTACAGGCGTGAGCCACTGTGCTTAGGGGTATCCTCCCTCTGTGAAGTCAAAGTTCTGTGACTTCTTCTGGGTCCCCCTCTCTGGCTCTTTTCCCTCTCTCTCCGATTCTCTGCTGCCTCCTCTGGGTCTCCACAGTTCTGTTTCCCGCTGTCTTCAGCCAGGCCTGACTCTGTTTTCTCCCGCATGCAGTCTGACTACCTGCTTCAAGATTACCCGGTCACCGTGCCCTCCAACCTGCAGGACGTGAGTCATGTTGGGAGGGACCTGGGATGGAGGTGGGGACCACAGACTCAAGATGCCCCACCCAGGCGAGTGGATAACCTGGCCCTCCCCTCCCCAAACCCAGGAATCAGAGTCCCCGGCCCCTCCTCCCTCAGACCCAGGAACCCCGGCCCAGCCCCTCCTCCCTCCGGCCCAGCAGCCCCGGCCCAGCCCCTCCTCCCTCAGACCCGGGGGTTCTCCCCACTAGGAGGAGCTCTGCGGGGCCCTCTGGCGGCTGGTCCTGGCACAGCGCTGGATGGAGCGGCTCAAGACCGTGGCTGGGTCCAAGATGCAAGGCTTGCTGGAGCGCGTGAACACGGAGATACATTTTGTCACCAAATGTGCCTTTCAGGTCAGCCCTCAACTTAGGGGACAAGTGAGGGGAGGGAGATGCCTTCCTACGCATTAGAAGTAAAGCTCCACTAGGCCTTATTGGAGATTTATTTGGACCACAGCCACCCAAGGAAGGTAGAGCGAGAAGCTCTACCCGGCAGAGCTCTGTTCCTGCAGAACAAACACGTTCCCAGCCACCGGTGATGGGGAGCAGTCTGGTCCCATTCTGGGGCCCCGGTTTCCTAGGCCATGATGAAGGGTGCCACTGAGGGGTTCTTCCCCCGAAAAAAACAGGGGAGAAGAGGTCTCTAAAGTGAGAAGACCGCGCGCGGTGGCTCACTCCTGTAATCCCAGAGCTTTAGGAGGCTGAGGTGGGCGGATCACTTTAGGTCAGGAGTTCGAGACTAGCCTGGCCAACATGATGAAACCCCAGGTGTACTAAAAATACAAAAATTAGCCAGGCATGGTGGCTTGGGAATCGCTTGAACCCGGGAGCCAGAGGCTGCAGTGAGCCGAGATCATGCCACTGCACTCCAGCCTGGGAGACAGAGTGAAACTGTCTCAAAAACAAAACAAGGCCGGGCGCGGTGGCTCAAGCCTGTAATCCCAGCACTTTGGGAGGCCGAGACGGGCGGATCACGAGGTCAGGAGATC